TATGTTTTTTTTTTTTTTATTTATATTTTTATTTCCATAGTAATATCTTGAAGGAATATATAAAAAAAATAAAAATAAAATAATTAGTGTAGTGATCCTACTTTTATAGAGCTCTTTAATTAGAAATTTCTTATTTAATTATTTGGTCGAATTGTCTTCTTAAGCATTCAAGTAAAATTTATTGAGTTGCCTTTTAACAAACAGAATAAATTGGCGAAAATTGATCTACCGAAATAGTTTAAATGAAGTAATGTTGCTAATTAAAATTGCTCAGAAAAGAAAACAATTAGGTGATCAATTCATTGAAACTTGTTTAATTTTTTGTTCGCATTAAATTTTGTCACACACAATTATAACAATATTTTTATCTAATTCCGTTTCTTTGCAGGTGGCTATCATCAAAGAATCTAGACGCTGTATAATAAATACACCACTTGACTTTATACCTCGGTATATATTATACAAGATATAGTTTTATATAAAAATCACGAATCAAATTAAATTTTTTAAGCACTGCTCATAAATAGTTATTAATTTAGTTAAAATAGTTCAATTGTATTTATTTAAAATTTTACATTCAATTTGCCAATGATTTGTTTTATGTTACAATAAAAAAAGTCTGTGTAATTTGTAACGATTCGATTTCTGAGACGCGTTCACGACGATCTTGCTGCGGCGCTGTCCAATTGCCGACTGCTGGAATGGAAGCCACAGAGTCTGGGCCGGGATCTTAACGATCTGTGCGAGCCATCAAATTGATTTTTTATTTAGTGTGTATTGCCGCTTACACTGCGCATCGCGGTTGATGGAACGCGCCAGCGCCAGCGCCAGCGTCGGGCTGACTGACTGATCATCGGCTTTGTTGTACGGCATTTCGAGGGCAGGCCGTAAATTAATTTGAAGCATTTGATTTGCCGTCGATGTCGTTCGCGTTTTCAGTTAATTTGTCAACTGTGCAGCTGCCTGTTGCATAATGCAGCGCACTCGAATCGAATGCAATTACACGACACAATGCAACGTGTAATTTCTCGCAGTGCACTGCTCACTGGGGCTGCCTTTCCATTTTTTGTTGTCGTTGGTTTTTTCTTTTTTGATCCAGTTCCTGTTCTTGGCCATCCTCCTCCTGCTCCTGTCAAACGGCCAGCTGATTCGTATGGCTCATAAAAACAGCTGACTCCAATTAACCACATGGCATAACGACTTTACGGGAACCTACATACACACGCACACACAAACACACATGAAAAGACGGAGCCATGCATCAAAGCAGCTGAGGCCAAAAAGCTATTAACGTTAACGACAGAAGCATAAATATGGTAGAAAAGGGCTTAAACGAAGCAATTTTCCAGCTGGACTTAAAGCACGTTGATGGCATTTTAAAGAACTTTATTATTTTTAGCAGATATTTGGAGAGATTTTATGTTATTTTAAATATTAGGATTTAAATCAAGCCGCTGTTCTTTCAAGCTCGACTGTTCGAATATTTAATGTTAATATTTTTCAATTTAGAAATATATATAAATATAGAGATATAGGCAGAGAAGGACTGATAGAGAGAGAGAGAGAGAGACAGAGAGAGAGAGAGAGAGAGAGAGAGAGAGAGGGAGAGATCAATCGGTATGGTAGGGATAGAAAGAGTTAAAGTGAGAGTGAGATAGAACGAGAGATTTAGCAATAAAATAATTTTAAATAGATATGAAATGCAGATTCAACATGGATTAATTTCCATATTTTTTTTGACTTGAGAGTCCTGATTCCTATATTATAAATAAATTAAAGATATTTAAATAAGAACACGTTATTTTATAGATCTTATCTATATTTTATAAAGTTATCTAAATTTTAATAATTGAATAGAAGAATACCATCTATTGCAAGAGAAACGTTTGAGTTCAATTGACTGAATATTTTTAGAGTAAGACAGCAAGTATTTATTCAGCATTTTATTCAAATATGCGACGAATTTGCTCTTTAAAGTCTTCCGATAATAAATAATAAAAAACAGAATTCAAGTGAAATATTGTTTTCTTTGCAACGCATTATTTGTATGGAAAGATCATTTGTTGTTCGGAAGGCCCCGTTGCTCGTGTCAAAGTTCAATTAATTCAATTAAATTAGTGGTGTGCGTGTGGATGTGTGTGTGAGAGAGAGAGAGAGAGAGTGTGTGCGAGTGTCATATAAAGTCCAACGCATTTGAATCCCATAATTTACATAAAATGAAAACGTTCTCGCATGAGAAAAATAGTTTTGAATGTCTGTCTCAAATATAAAAAATATAAATGAACATATATTTATTTATAAATATATTCATGTGCATTTAAAAGTTAAGCTTAGCTTAGGAAAATTATGAACAGTAGCTGTGTCTACTCTGGCGGCGTATTGTCATGTATCCATTCCTGGAAGTAAACCAAGCTCGTGTAGACGCTGGGTATGCGCAGCCCGCCGCAATTATCCGAGCCAAAGGACATGATGCCGATCTGCCAAGAGAGAGAGAGAGACAGAGAGAGAGGGAGAGGGAGAAGTTCATCATCAATGGCATGTCAGTCAGCTGGCTTAGGCTCACCTGTGAGAAGATATTGTTCTCCTGAATGAAGAGTGGCGCACCGCCAAAGCCTTGGCATACGTCTTTGCCCTCGCCGCCGGCGCACATCCATTGGCCCTCGATGGAGTTGGGTGATTCGAGGGCGCCCGTGGAGCCATAGTTGCGTAGACAGAGATCCCAGCTGGTCAGCGGCACGTCCAGATGCGACATCTCCGGCTGGCGTATGCTCGACGTGGACATCTTGCCCCAGCCGGCGATGGTCGCCCGTTTGCCCACGACCAGATTGGCGCGTGTCTTTTGCAAACAGATCGGCTGGGTGGCCACTGCATTGGAGGACGAGGAGGAGCAGATGATGAAAAAGAAGACGAATTAAAAAAAATCGATACGAATCTAATTCTTGGGTCTGGCTGCAGAGACTGTTACGCCCCTTTGATCGTGGGCCAAAGATAAGGGAGGCAGGGCGAGGCAGGGCAGGGCTGGGCATGGCAGGACAGCTCGTTGTTATAGTAACATTGATGCTCTTTCTCATTGTTCAAACCCATTGATTGGCCTTGCGCTCACGTACGCCCATAAAACGTTATAAAGCCATAAAAATCGCCAGCCAACGAGCCTGGCCCGCAATTAAGGTAACGCTCCCCGCATCTCGGCAGCGTGGCAAATGTGTTGTTTACGGGTTTGCTTTCCACTCCGGCCCAGCCCACTGACGAGATGCTGACGGTAATGCCCCTTATTTGCTCAGATCGCAATGATATTGACGCTTTAAAATTCAATTTAGATTTATGCTTTCCTTCCCACAAAAAGAGAACGAAAGCCCCTCAAATAACATGAATAAATATCTGATTTAAGTTATACATCAAATAATTGCGGGGCGAATTTCATAGTTAATACGGATGAAAATTTTATGGCTTTATAATTTACCAAAGATAACTTGGAAATTGACGACTTAATGAATTATTATTAAAGATTCCCTTACCAAACTTGGTTCATAGTGCAGAACGTTGGTGGGGTAACTGCTGTATTTCTWATATTTAAAGATATATTGCCCTGCTCTAAGTTACTCAT